GAGTTGGCAACTAACACACTTGCTCTCAACTTGACAAACACACGGATTTCTGATGTGGAGTTGGCGTTTGGCAACTAAAACAATCAATCTTTGAAAGTATATGAGAAGGTGAATCAATGGACATGTTAATGTACTAGTATCACTAGTACATTTACTATGGTGGAACACAATATTCAAATCCATGTTGCAAATAGATAGTCATATGATAATTTTGACATGAGTGTTGAGCTCAGTCCAAAAGAAATCTTTGGCACGAGAGGCAGAATGTCAACCTCATAGATGCAGATCAATCTGATAGGAGTTCGATACTGAGAGTGTAGTAGACCTGACAGCCGAAGCACTTAAAACCCACTAAGATGTGTGAATCAATGATAACGGCGAAGCATATTCAGGAGGACAAAATTAATAAAACAAAAATTAAACTCTGGCAATAACAAGCGGAGATAGAACGTCAAGTCGTCCCCAACGCTGGATTTCTACTGTCTCGGATAATGACTGAAAACCAAGCGGCATACCGCATGCACTTTTCAAAGATGTGCAGGTGTCCAAAAGTCGTCAGCCAGGAACTGAGAAGGATTCACAGAGTCGAATATGGCTTAATAAGCGACTTTGATTTTATAGTCGTAGTAGGAAAAACTATTTGGCAACCTTGCGGGCACACATGATGGGTGTCATGGCTACCAGGTTCCACACAGCCGTCAATGCAGTGGGAGTCTCCAGCAAAAAGACTTGAACCGCTGGAGAAGCAATCCAAAACTTGAATCAAGAGAAGAGGATATAGCAGAAGATGAAGCATGATGAAGTGCCATCAATTCGCAGCAATGCGTGAAAAGAATGAGGAAAAGATGGCGTGACGAGTGCTGAAATATTGAATCCATATCGAGAAATGTATCATGAGGACTAAATTCATATCGCGGAGTACATAGAACTCAAGAAGAACATTCGAGTTGTAGGAAGTGGAACATAGTACCTCTAGGTCTGGGCGTCTGGAATGATGTATGGATCAAGATACCAACTAAACTGATGCTTTACAAGCTCAGATTGCTTTGTGTCACGTCCAGTAGGGGTAGGGTGATAGAATGCGCATAAGAGGTGTGGACTTTTGTCGGAACTAGACATAGTTAAAAGGTTTGACATGTTAATGTAATAGTATTACTCTTGTGTTCTCACCCGAAGTGAATGGTTTCAAATCGCTTAGTAGAACTCAGAAACCTACAGTTAAGGCCATTGAAGGAGGCTAGATCATAATGGGATCCTAAGCCAATAGTAATTAATTAAAAATAGTTACAATTAATATTTGTGTTTAGAGCACACTTATTTTAGTTGTCTCGGCACCACGCTGAAAGTAATTTGGGAGTGATTTCAGTAAGCGCAAAAATAAATACCATGTCACAAACTTTCTGTGGAATTGTCATACAGAAAGAACTCTTCACTCTTCTTTGGACCGAAATCCAAATAACAGGTTATGAACAAATTGCTTTAGCTTTCAAATGCAAATCCTTGAGGGATGCATCTGTTCGCCTTCAAAGTATCCTCTCATTTTTGGCTCGTGAATCCGATCAATTGACCGCCTCTGCCGGCTACGCATCTTCATGTGAGAGCCTTCAGAGAAATTGGCTACGAGTACAAAGAATTCGATTGGTTGACGCGTCCCAACGCAGCCAAATGAGAGAACTTATATGACCTCTCATGCCGAGCTTCAAAATATAGAAAATCCAGACAGAGAAAGTATTAGACTTTTCTTGCTCAGGTTCAGTTGATAGAATTTACAGGCAAACCATTCAATCGGCGACAGAGTATGTACTTGTATTCTTCCGTATTCCACGCTTGAAATTACAGCGCCTGTGAGCACAATTTTGCGTTCCATCATCGAGCAGAAGGTGCTGACGTTTAGTAGTGGCAAGTTCACGATCAAAGATCCGTGGCTTTCTGGCTTTGTATATGCGTGTTTATTCATTCCAATGACTTGCAGTGCGTTCTTTGGTTTGGTTTGGTTTGGTTTAGGGTGGAATGTTCATCTAGAACTAGGAGTTCAGCTCGATCCCCCGGCTCCGCTGGAGCGTTTCAAGCTCCTATACCGAACAACTCAATCCTAAGAAATGCAGCGCATTGGTTATCAATCGATGCGAAACACCTCCAGAGTCCAGACTAGCCTGCCACTTGCAACTCTGCTCGGTTGGTGGTACTCAAATTGCAACAGAGAGAGTTGCAGAAATAGTCAGGTTTTCAGACTATGAATTTCTTGCGTGGATGTTGGGGATGGTCCTGGCCTGCCCCTTGCAACATGGCTCCGTCGGTGGTACTGTATTCAAATTGCAGCAGGGGTGGTACTGTATTCAAATTGCAGCAGGGAAAGATAACGGTCAGTAGCTTTGTAACATGTGGTACATCGTATTTGATTCAAAGCATCAATTACGATGCAATTCCAACCCTTCGTTCGCTTATGAAACAGGAATCTGTCTTTTCTTGTGAAATTGTTACATGTTGTCATGGCGTGCCATGATTTGAATGAGTAAATAATGAAGATCGACCCTAAACCCGTGTTGTTTTAATCCTAGAAAAACTCATTTGGTGTAAATGAGAAAATCTCATATTCCTACGAAAACAGTGCTTACATTTCCGACTGAGATAACAGGCCGTTGTTATACGCCTTGCGATGGTGAGGACAGAAGGAGAATAATTTGTCATGTTTTGGTTTGAGTTTCATACAACTTATGCATGAAAGTAGTTGATTTAGAATTTTCAAATCTCGTGAATGTATTTTCCACTTGCAATACAGATACAAACATCAGAGCATAGTAATGTCTAATTTCCGATTGTCTGGAACAGAAATATCAAACTTTGTGAATTTATCTTGTTATGCTATCAGTGAAAATATAGCTTGTAATATATTGTCTTCTCCTAAACTGAAAAAATAGGCATTTGTATATCATGAAGAATTATGTATATTGTATTTCATAAGGGTTGTGATAAATTTATTCAAGTGAAGAGAATTTTTTAATGGTTTTTATTTCAAGACGCACATCTACTATTTCTTTGTATAGTATCAAAGGCTTCATTTTGTTTTATCATCAGCCATATAATGGAATTTGAAGATGATGCTATTTTGAAATGGAAGATAGTTGAAAGACTTGTTGCTTTTTTGAAATATAGAATACACTACCATTGATATTATGATGCCATGGGCACTATGTCACCAGAGAGAGTGTAGCTACATCATGTGAACTTTAATCATCCTTGCCATCAACTTGAATAGAACAATCTAATATAAGACTTACATATTTGATTGATGATGTCAAAATACGTTTAGCACAAAGCATGTTATTTTGGCATCTATCATGGTTGTGTTATCAATCGCATAGCAAATATGTTCGGAAGATGTCATCATGCTAAAGGAAGTAGGGATCAGATTCCTACATTACAAATTAGATCTTACATTGCGGAGGTTTCTACTTGATTGGAAATAAAATGTGTTATTATCGAGGACATAGTCAGAGGTTTACATGTAATTTGGGGGTTTTATTCATCACTTTTGAGCATGGAGATAAACTTTGACACTTTTGAGAGAATGCTCATGAAACTACTTGAAGACATGGGAATATCATTTTTCCTTTTTTAGTGCATAGTATTTTTCAAACATGCACATAATCAACTTAGACCAATAACTGAGGCACCTCATTGGTGATTATTATCTCGTGAAATAATTAGCGTTCAAATGTTGGTATAGCATGTACACACTTGTGTACCTATATAGTTACTGGATCTAAACTGATATTACTCCTTTCATCCGTGTACAGTATGTACATTATGAGAGGGTATTCTAATAATGTTCGCTACATATTTAGCCATCGGCCGATGCTGTGATTTTCTCATTAAATAGCGGGATGTGAACGCTTTCGGAACATCGCATTATAATTAACAAAACGCTTTCAACGACAGGTGTTTCTCGCAATGTGAAGAAGTAAGTAGTACTACTGGTTGGTTACTATAGTTGTAGTGATCGAAGGAATGGGTCGAGTGATGGGATGATTGCTGGAAGCCCTCAATCATATTTCCCCGCATTCATGTTGATTGCATGCCTTAAATCCAGATGAAATGTGTGAATATCTCCGCGGTAACATGCTATGCGCGTGTGGCACCTTGGGACTTCGCAGGGTCCGAGGGGTGGAATATGTGCAGGATGTGCAAACACGGAGCCTTCGTGTGTGCGCAGTCGGGAGGTGCCAGCAGCTGAGACTTGAAGAGAACCGCTGCAGGGCCTCGCGGATTGGAGTTCCTCGGAGCAAAGCAACATTTTCGCAATCGGTGTCAGACAAATTCGAAAGCGGGGTGCAGAATGATGAGATGAGTCTCCGGGCTCATGTCCGGCTGACAGAAAGCGAGGCGATGCCATTCGACCGACAGGAGTCAAAGCTGGGGTGGATGCGGAATTAAGTGCAGGGCTGCAAGCCTGGTGCTATTGCTGGTCTGGAGGACGAGAGAGCTTTCGCGTCCGGTGCGAAGAAGACAAGCTGTGACGGAGGACAGCTTGTCTTCTTCACATTACACACGAAAGCTTGCGCGTGCTAACGCATTCGCCGCCCTCACCATTAGAGTCGGTCAGTGTCACATTCCGCACCAGCGTTTTTAAGCGCTAGAGGCCATTTGACAGGCCTGGACGTTCGCGTGATCGATTCGACAGACGGTCGATGCCACGGACCGAGTTTCAGGTCGATCCATCTGGTGGCAGACTGCCGATCCCTTCGAGTCAGGCGTAAAGAAATTTCATTTTGCTCAATTTATGGTGTTATAATTAGGTCAGTGTCGAATAAGCACGCGCGCCTGCTCTCCAGGAGTGTGCCTTTACTGCTCAGCTCAAGGCTTTACTCAGCGATAGCCTGCACGAAACGACGCGGTCGCAAGAGTAGCCAATTACAGCTGCTTTTGATGAAAGAGGGCACGATCCAGCCTTTCGAGTTCTATACAAAGCCTCGCGAACATTATGGCCCCGTTCGAGGACCAAACACGAAGTTGAATGACAGATTTCTCGGTCAGGGCGGAGGACTTACCGAGGTGAATCGCCTGCTGCTGCCTCCACACATTCTCCAGGTGTGGAGGCAGCATTCGCTTCCGGAAATCATCCTTGGATCTCGTGCTCGTATTGATTGGCGAGTGAATGTAAGAATGCCATGAGGTTCAAATTTCTTTCTTCCGGATCGGGAAGGAAAGTACGGCTGTCGCGCTTTTTCAGTACTTGACGGGGATCCCCCACTTCACAATCGTCCTCACCTCGGCGGAATTTCGAAGCAGATTCACGGAGTCGCCCTGCAGAGCAAAGAGCAGATTGAGGGAGTCGCAGTTATGGCGAATCATAATGACAGAGCCGAAGGTACCAAGCTGAATCTTTTTCTCACAAGCGAGTACCCTCGTACTCCAACCAATCGCAATTTTTGCAGGAGGGAGAGCTCTTGCTGCGTTTTCGCATTGTTGGCCAGCCGGCTGGTAAGAGCATCGCGTGGGCACGATGCTGCGTTTCGCAGCAGGCAAGAAGAACAAGAAGGCGGCCGAGCTCAAACAGATCAAAAGGCGAGCAAGAGATTCGTTCTCGACCCCGGGTAACATTTTCCTCAAGTATGCGACTTACATGGTCGAGGACGATGAGGCCAAAAAGAAGGCCAATGAAGCTTTTTTGTACGGGAATAAAAAAGGGAGATATAAATACATATCCCTGGAACAGCTGCCTTGCGGAGACATGTTCAGGAACAAGCATCACATGCAGTACGATCCCACCGCAGACTGGCATGTTCCAGTCAACGATGTGTACTACCTTGCGCGCAGGAAGAAAGAGGTCAAGAAGCCTGCGGTGCCCGTCAAAGCCAAAGCGTCAGATCCCCCGAAGCTCAAACAAGTTCTAAAACTCAGGCCCCGAAGATTGACCGACAGGAGGAAGAGCATGAACCCCAGAGGTATCTATGAAAGGCCCCCGATGAATCCCGATCCCAAAGGAATGTACAATGGGTTCGGCCGGAAGCCCACATTCGTTCCGCCCCCGACACCTCCACCGGAGGAAGAATCATCGAGTTCTTCGTCCGAGGAAGAGGATCCGGTCGCCCCGAGAAAATTAAGGGTGAAGGATGTTTTCAAAGGCCATGGAGCGAAGAAAGCAAGTATTTTCATGACATTGAAACTCGAGGAGAAGAAGAAGCGTCAGTCCATCGACGACCCACCGACCCCGCCTCCAGCTAAAGTGGAAAGCTCGAGCAGTTCCGAGGCTGAAGCAAGGCCTCAGAAACTCGTGAAACGCAGGGTTAAAGACAAGCTCAGGAGTGGTTCCGCATCCTCTCGAAGCAGTATATTTATCAAGTGGGAGCGAACGCTGGAGGACGACGATGATCCATGTTCCAGGGAGCCATTGTTTAAATACGGAGGGAACTCAGACAGCTCGGAGGAACCGCCCAAGAGAGAAAAAGCGAGTTACGAGAAATATGCCATTTGTTACAGAAAGCACGACCAGGTTGCGGATGTTTGCTTGGCCTGCGAAAAGGATGAAACTTATGGACTGTTTACCGAATCTTTAAAATCCGAGCCATGGAAGTTGCCGATGGGCAAACCGGACCCCAAGACAAGCATGGTCATTGTTACACCTGGAGACAAGAAAAAGAAGGAGGGCGTTCCTCACTCAAGATTGCCGGTTTGCTACATGTTCGACCATGAGGTCGACCATACATACCACGCCAAAAAGGCCGCAGCCACTGCCACTGAGAAGGCCAAAATGAGGAAACACTTGTCCAAAACTTTGAGGAAACTTCACTGCCACCTTTACAAGCCTGAGAAAGATGAGAAAGACCCTGCCGCTGCGCCGAAGCGCGCCAGCTAAGTCTTCGAAACTCCATCCCCCTTCAGTCATCATCCGACGGCAGGTAAGCGAAACCTGACGCAGTGGAATCATGTACTTGTCGTCGAGTTCTCGCGAGTACTATACCGTAGCTGGCGATTTCTCGACGATGCTCGCAATTTTACAGCAAGATGTTGTGTTTAGGTCCATCCGAGCATCTTGAATTTGACCGAGTTCGTGCGCATCATTTTCGGTCACGGAGGTACAGACAAACTGCAGAATCTGGTCAGTCCACAGAGTTGCAGTCCAGTGGTCATTTCGGAAGAATGTTGGCCCCTTGTCAGGTTTCATTGCGCTGTACGTGTCTTTCGTGTTGGGCATGAATGACGACGACGAGGACGACGAGGACGACGAGGACTCGATCGATTGCTTGATGATCGGATCGCCTCATTCGTGCAGACCCCAAGCCCAACGTCAACCACAAGCACGACGCTGCTGTTTAGGGCGGGCATCATCTGTAACCGTTACGCACAAGCGTAAATGCTCGCCCAGTAATAGCATCCAAATGATTAATAGAACCGGAAAGAACGACAATAATTATTTCTTCATCATAGAAAAATAGCAGTACGATAAACTGGCCGTATTCTAGCACTTTCATGGTCTTCCTGCAAGTCAATGGGTGCAACTTGGCATCGACTTCATCGCTTGCCACGATGGTCTTTCTGTCAATTCTCGAAGACAAAATTAAACCTGAAAAGCGCTCAAGGCTTATGATTTCGAGGTGTAAGAAGATCTCTAGCATGTAACAACAGCGGGCTGAACATCTTGACATGTGGATGTTCTTGATTTCTGTGTCAATTTCGACATGTGTGCGATCTAAATGGATGGATTTTTGTGTTCTTGTTATGTTCCTATTTCATCAAAATATGTGTAGGTGAGAATATAATTTGGTCATCTTGCATTGATTATGGAAAAGACAAATTTCTTGCATTAAAAAAATAAGGTTGATTTTATGTCATAACATTTCTAAATTTACACTTTGTTGGATAAAGATATTACTTTTAGATTTCAATATTCAAATTTTTGGAACGTTAATATTTTCCTTTAAAAAGAGTGATTGAAAATATTATCGAATCATATATTTAGCATCACCGTAAAAAAAAAAAACACGTATTCTCTTCCATGATTTGATAATGAGACTTCATCTCCTTAGTGATAGAATGAACAAAATTTACGTTGTTTTTGACCAAAAATAAAAAACTTACTTCTCGAGACTAAAGCATAGTAATCATTTGAAAATACATTAAGATACATGTTTCTTATCAAATGACTTGATATTATTGCAAAGGGTTGCCCTAATTTAAATAGACAAATTATTATCACGTAGTGGCGTTCGCAAGTAGTTTCGGGCCGAAAAACCTAGTTGCCTGGAAAGGCAAAGAAGTCTCCTTCCGGGCCTCAATAGATGAACAGTTCAAACGAACTAGGACGGAAGGGTCGAAGGCCGGAAATGGTTCTCGCGCACTTATTTTCTTTGGCCAAAGGTGACGAAATGTTTCAATCTTTTGTGGATGAATATTTAATCCTTAACTGTATATATATGAAAGTTGAATCTAAGTAAGGTAAACTAAGGAAAGGATTCAAATGATGAAAAAAATTCAATCTGTCATAGAACCCTTTACATGTTATTGGTTCTCAAAAGAACGTATAAAATGTAACCTTAAGCAAACAACATAAAAATCCACCGGTTTTTTCCTTGCTCCAAAAGAACTTTTCTATAAAAAAAATATTCCTGATGTTCTTGATCATCGTACGGATGACTAATGTCAGTGACTTCATGTTTAAGTTTCATCAAGATATGCAAATATACAGTTTTATGGCATGACTTCTCATTGTATATAGTTTTTTTCTAGATATTTCAATTATGGATTTCTAAATCCATTAGTTATTTGCATTATATACGAATATTAACATAAATTATCTATCTTTAAAGTTTCAATATATGACTCTTTGAGTTACACGGCGTATATTTACTTGGACAACATATTTTACTTTCACTGTGAATATCAATTTGAAAACAACGATTTACGCATGATATCATTTCACAGAGGTGACATGTTTCTTTGTAATTGTGAATCTCAATTTTTAAGAACACTCATGTACACATGTTAAGCTAATAAATTTATTCAAATGATTTTTTTTAAACATGAAATTTATATTTCATTATCTCGGAAAATTATAAAAAAAACTTGAAGATGCTGATTTTGTAAATTGCAGCTTCCTGTCCCTTGTCCATATTATATAACTTTCACCAGAAGGTAGTTGCATCACATGACTTCTATGCACTGCAATTTTCAAGATAAACCTACGGGACAAACATCAAAGTTAAGTCGAGTAATATGAGGTGAAAATATATGAGAAAATTTCTTCAATTATTCTTGTTATCAGTGAACCATTTAATTGACAGTCACGATCATGAACATTCGTGTGGTGACCTCATGCAACGGTGACAACTTCTTCTAAGGGCTTGTCGAGGGAGGCAAATTGGCAGCCCGTCTCGATCTTCGAGTTCTCGACCTTGTTCACCCCATGAGCTGTAATAGCGGTCTTCCTTCCATGGATCAAGGTCGAGAGAGATCAGCGACAAGGGTTCGACGAGGATGAAGCATAATGCCCGGTCACAATGGAGCTTTGGGAATTTCTGGTCCAAACAAGAAACGAGGATTTGTGCGAATGCGAAACCCTTATTCGAGAGGGTTCACCGCGTGCCGGATGTACTCGAACCCTCGGGCATTAAAGTGCACTCAGAAACACCTGCGCATGCCGCAGATCCAATGATTCGCGAGCAGGATCTGTCCTCATGATTCATTCACGGGTCGGTGAAACCTGGTTTGATAAGCAGTAAAAACATGGTGAACGGGGAACGAGTTTAGGTGAGCAGAAGCCATTCGATGGGCCGAGTGCGCGTGAAAAACAAGTGTAAAAGAGCGTGCGAGTGATCGCGATCGCGATCGCGTCTGACTCTGGGGGCGTTGAAGTGTTTTGTCCGGTGAATGAGGTCATGCCCTTGTTGCTTCGTGGTCAACGACTGGGGATCGCGTCGGATCGGAGTTGTTGTTGTTGCTGCCGCTGCTGCTGCATCTTTGGGTGTCGATGAAGCGTCGCATCGACTAGCACTCATGGCCGGAGCCTGGAGAAGTCTGCTGAGCCCGTAGATCCATCAAGTCCCATAAAGACACGAAAGGATCCGGTCGATGCACGCAAACCAAGCTACAGCAAGAAACGGGGTCAACCTCTAGCGTCCAGCGGCATGGAGTCTAGATGGCAAAAAGAGCGAACGGAGCGAAGAGGTGGCGGGCGGGATGGATGACGAGGATGGCTCATGGCCCCCTCGTGGGAGTGCGTCCCGCATTGTCCACAATGAGAACAGAACGAGCTCCGGATCGACCGAAAAGGAAGGTTCTCGGGCCCGAATCCGCCGGACACTGACAGGATCCAAGATCCAGACATGTCAAATCAGCGGAGAATGCAGCAAGTTGCAAGGGGCATCGGATTTATGGACGAGAAGATTCAGTGCTCAGATGCACTTGCGCATCTGAGCAGTACGTAGTCGTTTTATGAAGGCTGTACGAGGTTGATGTAGGGGCGAGAGTGAGTGAGGCATTGCTCGGAGCTCGGAGTCGGCCCGGCCAGCGTAAAGCAAGGCGATGGGTTGATGTGAAATGAATCTGAATCTAGCTAAGATCGGTTCCCGAGCGTGGTGTGTTCCACAGACTCAGGTCATGAGTGAGAGAGTGAGTGAGTGAGTGCATATTCATATTCTGACAGAGGCCTAGCAAGTGCAGATATTCCTGTAAACGTCGTTCTTGTGCGGTTCGTAGAGGTATGATGACATTCCGAGCCATGGCAGCAATCGGGAGCGATCGGAGTTTGTCCACACAATCTACGAGTCGAGGCGGTGAGTTTCAGGGCAATAATCCTGCACAAAAGCGGAAGGCCAAAAGCGAGATGACACATCCACCATGCGATGCCCAAGAGATATGAAACGCGAGAAAAAGACCTCCCTCCACATAAAGCAAAAGGGCGCCAAAATCCACCGAGCAGCAGCTGCTTCTGCTGCTCAATGCTGCTGCTCAATGGTCGTGGAAAAGCTCCCGACTCCATCTCCGGCCTCCGCACCAAAAACGGATCAATCAGTCAATCAATCGAACGCCCCGTTAGCTGGCTATACCGCTACGTACTCTACGCATGCGGTACAGTGTAGTACTAGTGTACTGGAGTAGAGAGATCGAGTTTGACTTTGGCCTGCTGTAAGTGCATGATTGATTATCTTGATAGAGCTCGGCCCAAAGTCGTCGTCCTGCAGGCACAGCTCCAGGCTGCAGAGTCCGCGAGGGCGATCAAGGACTGTCACCGAAGCGGGTTTGGCCAACGGTTGCTCGTCCCATGCCCTGCCATTCCCTTCCCTGCCCGGCCCGGCCCGGCCCGGCCCGGCCCGGGCGGGCGGGCGGGCTCCATGCGGTTGAAAACCGCGGCCGCTCTCGTTCGAGTACCGTTCCGGGACTGGGAGTTCCGTTCGAGGACCCTGAGAGGGAGAGAGAGCGGAGCTGTACCGATTCATCATAGGAACACTGGAGTGCAATTGACTTTAGTCACCAACCTGGGGTAAGTTCTTTTGATCGAGTACAGCTCACGGCCACGCTGTACTGCGAGCCAGCCGTCCGTCCGTCCGACCGGCCGTCCGTCCGTCAGGCAGGAATGCAGGCAGGAAGGCAGGCAGGCCGGGCGACTGCGAAACCGGGGTTCCGGGTGGGGGCCCACCGCTAGACTAGGAGTTCTGTGCTGCGCTGGATGGTACAGTACAGTACAGGACGAGACGAGAACTTGTTGGTACTGGCAGCGGGGCCTGTACCGTTCCGGGCATTTGGTAATGGGTTCAACATTCACAACCACTTACGCTTCGCAGCCGGTCATTAATGTTGGCCTCCGTACGGTCCTCCGGTCCTCAGGTTAGGCATGTTCGCATTCATGGAGCCCGCTTTTGCTCAGGCTAGCGGCTCTTAGCGCCTCTACTGGACCGTATCGTCCACCTTCGACACAGTTGCTCATGGCTGTCTACGCCGCTTCTGCTGCGCTCTAGGCCCCCCCCCTCCCCTCCCCTCCCCTCCCTACCTTTGACTTGACTGGTCCCGAGACCTGTGCCACATCCGGATTCCGGAATTGGGCATGACATGACATGACGCGGGGGGGCGAGATGCATGTTCTGTTCAGCCACTGTCAGTCTGTCAGTCAGTCAGCAGACTCTACTGCACTGACTGAGCTCGGTGCTTGCTGAGCGATAGAGAAAGAGAGAGAGAGAGGAGCTGAATTCTGAGTCCACCGAGTTTGGAGTTAGATCACCGTCGGCATTTGCGGATGCTGAGAGGAGATGAGCAACCGCAGGTTAGGCCGGTCTCTTTCTCGGGCTTCTTCTTCTGATCAGAGAGTATGTGTCGTCGGGTAGCACCGTCAGGGTTGGCTTTTGGGCTCAGGAGGCTCTTGGGCTGGGCTTGCGGTAGCAGTGAAGTGCGACCTCGTTGTGGTTGGGAAACGCATTCATGGTCGACCGGCATTTCGATCATTCGCGTGTGTGATTCGGTTCTGGCTCTCGTCAACGCGAGCCAGAACCCACGCACCGAACGATTGATTGTCTAGGTGATAAGCCCATCAATAGCGGGGTGCTGCTCGCAGGTGGAACTCCGTCTTGGTGACGGGTTCATTCTTGGATAAGCTAAGCTGATGTGCCTCCAGCCGATGTGGAGCTAGTGACACTCTAGAGTGTAGAGAGTAATGGTGCTCATGTCAGTCGGTCACAGTCATGTTCATGTTGCATCCTGCTCCAACTGCACATGGCTGACGGCCGAGGCTCGAGGCTGATGGCCGGTTGCGTCCAGGCGAGCATGCATGAGCGCTGATAAGCTCGGCCGAGAAGTGGGTCGGTTGCTCGAAAGAAGGGTAATGAGGGTACTGAGAGAGGCTGATCACCATCTTCCGAGTCAGCTGGATTTAAGGCACGATAAACCAGCGCGCTGAACTAGTCATCGGGGTACTCTGTAGTCTCCAACCTCGCTGAATCTTCGATCGCTCTGCCTTTTAAGGCGCACAGTGAAAGATCGCACCCTAAATCGTGAACGTCCGAATCCTCACCGATGCTATGCCCTGCTTCGCTTTTCCGAGACAGCACGTATGATGGGCACAGGACAGGCCCGACGAGCTTCGTTGATGGAGCGCTCGTGATCGGGTTGTTGATTGGCAGCAACTTTTCATTCGATCCCCTCGGGGATGGTCTTCGTCGTCGTCGTCGTCGTCGGGTAATGGCGGGGTGGCCTGTCAGACCGGGGGGTTGGAGCAAGCCTACAGTAGAGCCTTCTGTCTCTTAGCTCGGAGTAGATGAACTCAGCGTCCATGAATCCATGATCCATCTACTGTTCCGAAATTCGTTGAAGTGGATGTTCTCGGTTGTGCATTAAACTGCAATCCTGGAGGAAGGAGCGCGGAGTCAAACTGGGTCATAAATTCCAGGCGATCAACTTTGAATCCCGCACCTCGGTGCCTGGAAGGCCCCCCTCCCCCCTCGATGCGGCAACTTGTTCGTCCCGGTGGTTCTTCGGTTAACGCCGCTAATTATGACACACTGCGTAACTTTGCATGATGATGTTCGTCGCTGGTTCTAGAACGGGACGAGGAGGGGGTTGACAAGGATCGTGCAGGCATCGTATTATTCGCGAGCACTGTCGCGAGCAAACGGGGCACGTGTAGACTTGGCGCTTTTCCCCGCTTGGCGCATTTCGGCAGGAATCCGGACGTTGGCTGGCCATGAGGCTACTGCTCGAGATCCCTACGGATTCACCTCAGCCACCTTTACCGAACCTCTCGAAGGTCCAGTTGGCACCGATCTGCTTTTGACGAGGCAGGCCGTGGGGGCCCTCAGATGTTTGGCCGTGGACAGAGCCACAGATATGGCTGACTTGCATTGCATTGCGTTCGAATTCTCTTTTCCAGATGCCGTGAGTGTCAAGACGTCGTTTGCTTGTTTGGCCCTGGTCTGCTCGCCCCCTTTCCAGTCGGATTACTCGCGGTAGCTCCCCTCTTTACCTCCCCTCCCCTCTCCACAGCTGACAGTGGAGCCATTGTGCCCTCGAGAGTGGACATCCCTGACGACTTCTACGGCCTTCACGGCTCCGAACCCTCGACTCATTCCCGGGGAGACAATCGCAGCCGGACGATGACGGAGCTGTGATTCAGTTGTCGTTCCTGCCTGACAGCTTCGCCTCGCCTGGCCATATGTTCTCCCCTTCTTTCCAACACTCGTGGTCTAGACAACACAGGGACTACTGTCCAAGACAAAAGTTGGTATTTGAATTTTTCGGCCGGGCGGTAACTGGCATGGCAATAGCCGTCGAGTGTCGAGGACCATCGGCAGTCTGGTCGACAGCTTCTGTCGAAGGCTTTGACCTCTCGTCAAGCCTCGAGGACTCGGTAGGAAACATCCAGAACTCAAGCTTCCCTCTGCCGACAGGAGGTCATATCCGTAAACGTACACATCATCGGGTGACAAATAGGACAGATGAGAACTAAACTCCGCCATAACTGTTGCTGGTCGTGGCAGATGGCCTCGGTTTCTCTCTCGATTTGAAAACCGATGGAAGACAGAACGTTTGAAGGACTCATATGCCATTCAGGAACACCGTGGGACATCGTGCTAACAATGCATCAAATAATTCGTTCCACTCAAAAAACGGTCGAGCAAACGTACTTGGAAAGAATTTGAAGTTGATATTTATGTAATGAATCATACAATACTTACAGTTGTAATTTTCAAATGCCTGGATTTTTTTTCCTTACGTGTATCCTGTTTCAGAGGCGCTGGAGGTAGCCCTCAGTGTCAATCTGTTGACTAAGAATTGTTTCACATCATTTTACAAGTTCACTCTTCCGAGAGATGGTACAATGGCATATCACCCTCTTTCCTACAAACCTCGTCACCTAGTACCCTTGAGGGAGGAGAGCTGCGCAATAGTGGCAGCTTCGTCCCCCACGATGTCCTAGAAGAAAACAGTTCGGTAGGCTGTCACTGAGTGACTGACACCATTCCACCGATGAAACGCTATTGTTGTTCGTGATCGTGAGAGTGGGAGTGCCTATATTGTTTTAATCTCCAAATTGTTCTTCCTCGGACAATTTCTGACCCGTCAACTTGCAAGCGCAGCAGGTGGGTGTACTGCAAGGGGCCTATGCTTGCTGCAGAATTTGTCATCTCTGGAGTTAGCGCCAGGGTGCCAGGGGAGTAAGAAAACTGTGTATCCGGTGACGCACCACTCAAAGAAGAAGACGGTGATTCGGGACTAGTCATGGACTGCACCACATCAGATTGATTGCACTCTCGCCGGTACTCCAGAGTCATGTTAGTCAACTCATGGCCTTCAAGAATTGGAGCAGGCAGGCTCTGCAACCGGGCAAGAAAAGCAGAATCAGTATCGATCCCTTCGACAAAGGCGCGATATCGATAGGGCACGAATTATCAGACGTCGTTCGAAAAACATGCGGTTGCGGATAGAAATCCATCGTGCAGGATTAAGGAAGTTACCTCTAGCATCCAGCCAATGTACTTCACGTTGTTAACGTGCTGATTCATATCCAGGTCGCCACGACGAGGCTGCATATCGATAACAGCGGATTTCCGTTAACATTTCCGTTTCCGTTAACACTTAAAAACATGTGAGAACTGACACACTTTCAGTTAGTGCAATAGACCGGCCAGTATGTGACTGCAATTGCAATTGCATCAAGTTCATACCGTAAGACCAGAGCGTATGTATTCAGCGGCTTCGTCGTCCAATCTCACGATCTTCTGGGAGTTCTTTTCCAGTATTGCCGACCTTTCCAAGTAGTGTGGGGAGATCTCCGTCCTTACTTCGTCGGGCATCTTCGACAGCCTTCTCGTTTTTTGATTCATCATGACCCATGTACTGCAGGGAGGCAAAGCACACCACGTCAGAAACCGACAGGCAGCCGTAATTTGCATGTGCAGATCATGTAAAGACGATCGGTCTCAGTGCAGCAGGCGAATGATCGAAGTCTTTCGTTGTTGAACGAATTGTGGACTTGCGGATGGTGAAGGTCCTACAGAACAAATCAGAGAGTCCACCCACCTTGTGGCACGAGCCAATATCTGACCAGATTTGTAGTCTCTGATCAGCCAGTCCCTTCGCATCCCGTTTTTGCCTGATGCCAGTACCCAGGTATCGATCTCCACAACATCTCCCCTGCAATCAAGAAGAACACTCGCTCAATTGGCTCCGTATCACATACTGCAGAATCCAACTCCTCTAATAAGAACTAAGACATACCAATCAGGCACCTAGCCAGCAGTCAATGAAGACGAACAAAGGGACAGAGACCGACACCAGGAAGCACTTCCGGTGGATCTAGCCTTCAACAGTCGGCTCGCATGGATCTAGATAAGACAGAATTGCAATTTCAGAGATGGGCATCCCCTGCAGGCGGAGGGTACGGTAGAAGTACCAAGTGGGGTACCGCTCGATTTTGACTTGCATGCGGGTGACAACCCAAATGAGATTGCTCCGAATCATGGCGTGAGTTGCACCAAATCCATCTCCCGCCAAACCCGACATCCAGACATGGTTCAAAGCAGTTTCCTGCAAGAGAAGCCAGAGTATTATATAACTTTTGACTTAACAGTGGGCAGGCGAACTGTCGAAGACCAGAATCGATCAGGAAAGAAAGCTCGTAGCGGATTCGGCTTCAGGGGTGAGTAAAATTCGGCTCCACGCGATCGTGCCTGCCATAAATTTGGCCACGCAGACAAACTGAAAATCTCACCTGAAAGTGGTTCATCAGAGTGTCAATGGAAGCCGTTTTATCTACGCCGACTTCATAGGAGCGGATCACGAAAGTTTGTCTGTAGACTCGCCCGCTCTCGACAAGCCTGCCTTGCCTCAGCGCATCCACGGGCACTTCCACCTTCCCGGCCAGCTGCTCATGTCGTCTATGTTTGTCCGCAGCTAGTGCTACACTGGCTATAACCTTGAGAACGGCATTGAATGTCGGGTTGGACTCGCAGCTCATCTCACCCCCAGAGGTCCTCTCCACATCCACGACGGCCTGCTCGACCTCTTCAATCATCGTGCTGCCAACCACGGAACCCTCCCCCTTGCCACCCTTGACCTTGCTGCCATTAACCTTCGAGATCTCCTGTACACCAGCATAGACCTTAGGCAGCTGAGATCTCTGACTAGGAGATGAAGTCGTCCCGACGTCCTTGCCGAAAGAAAGCTTGCGGTCCAAAGTCGACGGATTCTTAAACCTCGCAAACGTTTTCGGGGCGAAGAATGTGGAAGAAGACGTCGACGCCGCGACGGCTGAACTGGCTCGCAACCCTGCCCCTGTCAGAGAATCCATGCTGAATCAGAAGGGAAGGCCTGCTTCCCTCTGGGATCGGCCTTCTACAGCCCAGACCTCTGCTTCTTCAAAAACTCCGGCCACTGCACGAGCGCGTGAGAGTCGTCGAATATCTTGGAAGCTCCGCTGGTCCTGCGCGAGCGGATCGGACTGCCTGCCTGCCTGCCTGCCTCTCTGTCTCTGTCTCTCCCCCTGTCTCCCTCTCAATCTCTCTCTGTCTGTGTGTCTCTCTCTCTTCGCGGCCTCTGTGAATGGGACTCAGTCCTGCCGGCTGTCGTATGATCTGCAGAAACGATAATTCGGGTTCAGCACATTGCGCCTAAGACGGCTGCACACGAACCTGATGCGACATCTGACGACGAACGAGGACCTGGTGATACGACACAGCTCTAAAAAACAACGCACGCCGACCGACCAAGCCGCTAGCGACGAACGACGAATGCCTGTCACAAGATCTCTCGACTACACACTGACGTGAGATGCAAGCCTCTGCCTATCTCGCTCCGTGGAGCAGCATTTCATTCTACCCGTGCGCCCGAGCTCGTCTCGGATTTACACGCTAAAGCATCATCATCATCAGCAGCAGCAGCAGCAGCAGCGGCGAGCGGGGCTCCCACGAATGCCAACTGCAGCGAGAAATGGCATCACCTTCACGGGTTCAAAAAATCGTCTCCTCCCGAGGCGCATACAAATAATATCGTATGTACGAGACGATCCCCCTCGCTGACGAAACTAAACAGCGCTCCGCAGCCGAGCCTGCCTGTAAGAGAGCAGCGAGCAAGCGAGCTAGCGACGACTCTGCGAGCAGGCAGGCCGCTCAAGAGCTTGCTGCTCCGCCTCCTCCTCCTCCTCCTCTGACTCGTGCCTGCGCTGCTGGATCGAAATCGAAACTCCTCCCTGAACACACACTCCTCCTCCTCCCTCTCTCTGAGGCTGTGTCTCTGTGCGCCTCGATCTCTCGGGCTCTCTCTGAGAACTGCTACAGCGCGAAGAGCGGTTTATGAAAGGCAGCCAGCCGGCGGGCCCACTCCTCTGCTGGACCTGCGTCGGCCGTATCTGGCCTTCAGACCTACTCGGACTCGACTTCAAGTCCAGGCTCCGCTCAGCTCTCGTCTCGTCTCAGTCCGAGCGCAGTCTCCGGCCGCCGTCAGCGTCCGACTCCTCTAACGGCCCTTCCCTGCGCTTCGTCCTCCTGATGATGGCCCCGTTCGGTCCACTCCCGTCGCTGACCTCGAGTCCGTCCCCCCGTCCGTCCGTCCGTCCGTCCGTCCGAGGATGTCCGGATCCGGTTCCTCCGGTGGCCGGATTGCTGCGGAGGATTCTGTCGTTCGGGCATCCATCCGCGGTCGAGATTCGGGCGAACGTCGGCATGCGACGAAATCCAGCGACTGGCGCTTGCTAAGTTCGGCGGATCCTGTCTGGCGGGCGAGCGAGCGCTCTCGGGCCCTGTTCTTGCTTGCTCGCCCGATGTCCGCCCGCGCGCGACGACGGGCGCGACGGCCTCCCTCTTGGTGCGCGGCGGACTTGTCACGACTCGCCTTTTGCACGCTCCCCGCCACGAGCCTCCCCTCCCGCACAGAACGACTGTCCTGGCACAACTGTATTGCTTGCCAGGGCGCCTCCTACTCCTCGGCCGTCCGGCTGTACTGTGTCACACCTCCACCGCGTAGCCTCCGGTCCTTACGCGCATGTTCTTGTATCGCTCGACGTTTCGGGCTTGTAGCGCGAGCACTGATGTGCAGTTCTCTGTGGCTGGGCGGGCCGACGTGCTGTGCGCTTTGCAAATCCTCGAGCTCGAATTTATCGTCGACAATAGTCCTCTCGACTACTTCGTCGACTGCGACGCCCTACGCTCGACGTCGGGAGCGACCAAAACGCAGACTGCAGTCGTTTCGTGCAGTCCATCTTTCCGTTGCTTTATCTGCGATGGACAGCAGAGTCCCCTTATACGTGGAGGCACGCACCGAGTCAGCCAAAGCATCCATCGATGCCTGGCAATCTTTAGTGGCTTTCGTGTCTCTGGCAGCTCGGGCGAATCAGATGTGGACATGTCAGCCTTTTCTGTGTAGACGTGGCCACTGGTTACCCGGTTCTACGTTTCGAGATTCCCCAGCGGGGCCCGATCGATGAAATGACTCTCCCCTTCTGGAACATCAAACATCCAACCGCGGTCTCCTCGTAGGGCACCCTCTACCTGGTCACCATCCTACCATCAAAACTTCTTCGGCCGCGCAGTTTCATCTGGAACAGAAAGGCCCGTCTCTTCGAGGTTCTTTCCTTCTACGTCGTTTGTGTCCCTGTCAGTCAATAGTTCATTGCTTTCTCGTTTCTCCACCAGCGCGGTGGCCACGTTTGGCACTTGAGCAAAATGATTCCATGACAAACTCCATAAATTGTTTCTTACCAGGAATATTTGGAAAAAAACAACTTGAAGGTAGTAGGATGTTATCGAAGCGTAAGATATTTACCTGTTCCTTCTAAACAAGTACCAACTTTTTTTTGATCTTGGCAAAAGAACTGGATAAACAGATAAATCAAAGCCCGTTTTGGAGTCATCCACATGACTGCAGTTTTATTGTCGTTTGGAAACTCCTAGGCGTGACTCATAGGAACTATATGTTAGAATGCTTTTGACAGATTTGGATCTATCACATGTCATATTACGTCCTTGAGAGTTTAGTAATATCATTCATTAAACTATAGAGATCATGGACAACAAGAGTCTAGCACACCTCAAAGATAGTAGCTTCACCTTTGCTTAGTCTACGTACACAAGAACATAGAATTATTTTACTGAAAAATCCCAAGTTTGTGTTATCACAGAAGCTCTGATTTATAGCTATAATCTAACCATAGTTTAACTACCTTGAGTTAAATTTCTAACAATTTTCCCCTTGACTTATGCAGTCAGGTATGTAACTTCTATAACCAACATGATTATTTTAATGGAAGGATATTGACATAGGAACTTATGTAAACCAGAGCTAATTATAAGTGACACATAATCAAAACAAGATAAGTTATAAAAATAATATAGAGATAACAAAATTGTTAAAATAACTCCACTAATGTTCATGATACTAAAGTTGCAAAGTAATACATTGTGTATCTAAAATATCTTTAACCAATACATTATTCTCGATAAGAAAATTTAGTTTGTCAAGATTGAAATACTTTAAGATAAGTATACCAATAATCTTGACAAGCTCCAAAATCTTATCAAAAATTATATTTTTTGAGAAAATGATATATGATGTCAATATGTTTCATCTTGCTATTCATCATTTAATCTGTCGTTGCAATCATCTTTACTTAATACAACCAAAATGGAATTTACTCAAAATAGAGATAAAATCAATTTATGGCAAATTTATTATAGGTACCATGTCATCAATCCATGTGTATGATAGGTAAAGATTAAATGTGTTAGTTGAAAATGACAAGTTACCAATCCATTATAATCTGAAAGCATGTAATAATGAGATCTTATCTCCTTATACATGTTTGAAAAATATGTTTAGAAAAGATAAAAATCATCTTAGGTATCTAACATTTTCAGAGTTGATGTTTCATCTTTGAATGAGTTTTTTAAAAAATAATTTCCTAGTGTTACATTTGCAAAATGTAATAAATTCTAACTATTGCAATGAAGATTGACAACATTGTATTTGGATCTTTAATCAGTGAAAAATCTATTCAATTAAATATTTTACTTTGTTGCTATTGCAAATTCATCCTCCGTAGTTGACTAAAATATGTAATTTTACAAAGAAAAATTATAATTAAAACTCTATTTGTTCATAAATATATAATCCGTTGGAAATATTTTCATGTTGATAATCATCATCAATGTAGACTAGCATGAATTTGTTAGAAAAATAAAATCCTAGAATGAAATCTTTCATAAAATTGTAATCACAAGGCTGAAAGTTATTGTATATATATTAAGCAAATATTGAATTTTTTTTCCAAAAATAAATCATTATCATCATCAATTTCACTCTGAACATTATATTTTAAAAAAATAAAATAATATACTTATTTTTCAAATCTTTGCAAAAACTTCATCAAAAAACTTAAATTTCAATTGTTTCAAATTTCAAATTGATTTTTTGTGTAATATTTTGAATTTATAATGTACACCTTGCTATTTCAAGTTTTGCTCTTGTTATATTTATTTTATCCGTACTAAAGATTTTTTTAAGTAGCGTCATCAAATCTAGAATGTCCACATTTCTTTCAACATCAGTAAGCAAAAAATATTTCTGCCCATGAAAATTTGTCAATAATCTTAGCTCATTATAAAAATCATTTTAATTGACAACAGTCTTAGTTAACAACATAATCTACGATCTTTTCTATAGTATCTACAATCTACATTATCTACACATAATCTGTAATTTCTTCACATCATATCTTTATAAAATTAATAATTTCTTGAATATAAGATCAAACTTTCTTTATTTTTGTATATAAGTTTAGAAGTTATACAATCAGAAATTTATAAATAATAATAATCAGTTACTCATAATTAGTTAATCATAATAATTTTTACTGAATAAATTGCAATACATATTCAAAAATATATTTTTTGAGACTAATATGTATATCAATTTGAATTTTATAAGTTTTTCAAGTTATAAATACTAAAACTCTTTGCGAGGAAAAATAACTTCACACCAAATTTGAGTAATTATCAACATAACTTGAATTTATGCCTCTATGAAAACTAAATCTATGAATTAGATGATTCAAATATGTTATTCAAATATATAGATTTCAAATGTACTCAACTCTTTTTTTGTTAGAACTAAAGTACAGTGGATTCAAAAATTTAAAAGTGAACTGCATTATGATGAGCTATCTAAAACCATCATGTCAGCAATCAATTTGTTTGATAAATAGAAAATTAGTGTATTTGTCAACCATGTTAAACATCTTATGTGCTTGTTTAATAAAAATTGATTGTGTTAGTTAAAAACAACATTCAACAATCTGTATGATTATTATATAAATCCGAAGTGTCATCAATCCACTAAAAGTACAATAAAGTATGACGATGTCTTTTTTCATTTGTTGAAAAAATAATTAAATTTAATTGTCTTTCATGTTTTGAGTTTCTGGCTCAATTTTGTATAAGATACTGTCTAAAATCATAATGTTACAATGCTATAAGAGCTACCTTGTTCTTTTTTTCAGTGTGGATTATTCCTCATAGCTATAGTAAAAAAATTAATTTTAATTTATATTGTTTATTTTTATAAAGACATTGAGATTGAAAAAACTATTGATTTCTATGTAAAAAGAATTAAAAAAACTCCTTTTGATATTGCATATATGAAGATGCATGAAAAAAAATTAATATTGCAAATTTTTGTATCTTCAATTTATTTTATATTCATTTTTTATGGACAAAAATCAGTTTTTAATGTACATTGTGACATAGTTCGATGCAAAATTTATGTCTTAAATGATGAAGTGAAATATACTCTTGAAAATTTTCATAGTTTATTCAAAAAAAAATATTGTTATTTCATTTACATGCTATACTAAATATTCAATGATTTCAATTGTAAACTATACAACTTGGGTCAATTCAACACTTATGTCAATTTTAGAATAATGTATCCAAAAGAATGTGAAGAAATTTTCTTATGAGAATTCACGATGAAAAGTTTATTACATCTTTCATAATGTAGTCTATACTTCTTTGATTATTTTGTTTAAAAAATTGAATAATATCATGATAAAATGAATGAAAAAACATGAAAGCTGTACTTGATGTGGATGAGGTTGTAAATGCAATCATGACTTAGATGAAATATTCGCGAAAAACATGTAAGCAACAAGCCATGAAAGATAAGGAATTTGTATTGGAATATGAATAAGTAGAGAAAACTAGAAGTAGAAAGTTAGAAATTTCAGTATCAAATATTTAAATTCAACCTGAATCAATTTCTATAAATATTATAGAAGCAAA